CCGATTTAATGATTAAATTCGAGAGTATACCCGACAGAGAATTCTTACTTACTTTTTATGTATCCGCTTCCGAACTACCAGGAATAGATCTTATTATTGGGGGCGATTTCCTAGAAAAAGAAAAGTTTAGATTAATTTATGATCCGGCAAATAAAAATGATCGGCAAATAACGCAATTATTGTTACCGACGGAAGCGTACTGCGCGAACACAGATGCGGAAACAAGTATCGAGAGTTGCGAGATAGATTTTGATAACGCAGTTAAACAACGGTTGTTAAAATTGCTAACAGATTGTAAAAATTTGAACTTACCTATAGTTGAGGACGATCATTGCGTCAAAGTTGCTCTAAGGGATGATTCCACATACGCTTATGCTCTTCGCAAACTTGCGTTGCATGAACGCAAGCAAATTCGCGAGATCACGGATGATCTGCTCACGCGAGGAATTATTCAGCCGAGTCGCTCATCATATTGCGCGAGAATAGTACCTGTAAAGAAAAAGAACGGTAGTATAAGATTATGTGTGGATTTGCGTCCACTAAATGCAAGAATACAAAAACAGAAATATCCGTTTCCTCTGATAGAGGATTGTCTCGCGCGTTTAAGCAATAAAACCATGTTCACTCTTCTAAAAGACTCGACTTCTCGATCTAAAAGACGGATTTCACCAGATCAAGATTCATCCAGATTCGTCAAAGTATTTTTCATTTGCTACGCCCAATGGGCAATTTGAATACGTGCGTTTACCGTTCAATTTCTCGGAATCACCGGCTGAATTCCAACGTAGAATTGTTCAAATCTTGCAACCGCTTATCCGCCAAGACAAGGTAATTGTCTATATCGATGATATATTAATTCCGTCCAAAACGGTAGAAGACAACTAGAAACTCTAAAAAAAGTATTGATATTACTAAAAGTGTACGGGTTTGAACTAAATTATAATAAATGCTTGTTTTTACGGCAAAGAATAGAGTATTTAGGATACATTATTTCGAGTAGTACAATCACGATGAGTCCGAGACATACGCAATCTATACGCGATTTTCCGCAGCCTAAAACAGTCAATCAACTCCAACGGTTTTTGAGGCTAACTATTTTAGAAAATTTATCAAAGACTATACGGTCAAAACAAGACCATTACAAAACTTACTTAAAAAAACGGTAGAATTTAACTTTGACGAAAAATGTGTTGAAGCGTTTAAACAACTCAAAAAAGATTATACTTCATATCCGGTACTGCGCGTGTATAATCCGACGGCAACCACAGAATTGCATACCGATGCAAGTATAGACGGTCTGGGAGCAATATTGCTGCAGTTGCAATCAGATGGAAAGTGGGCCCCAATCGCGTATTTCAGTCAGACCTTAAACAAAGCAGAAAAAAATTATCATTCGTTTGAATTAGAAATGCTAGCGATAGTACGCGCGATAGAAAGACTTCACATGTATCTATACGGGTTAAATTTTACGATGACAGATTGCAACGCGTTAGTGCATGCGTTAATAAAGCGAATTTGAATCCGAGAATTGCCCTTTGGATTTTATTATTGCAAAATTATAAATTTAATTTAACTCACCGGACGGGTAAAAAGATGGAGCATGTAGATGCGTTAAGTAGACAAATCATGTATTTGGAATCACTGCCCTTGGAACAAGAACTAGAGTTCCGTCAATTGCAAGATCATCGCTTGCAAGAAATAGCACATAATCTAGAATACCACGATAATGATAAATTTGAATTAATTCAGGGACTAGTGTATAAGAAAGGAAATGACTGCACGCGATTCGCCAAAACCATGATAAACGCGATTATACGCGCTCATCACGATGACATGGCTCATTGCGGAATCGAAAAAACATACCAAAGTATCAGCGAAATATACTGGTTTCTGTCGATGCGAAAGCGAATAAAGAATTACATAGACAATTGTATTACTTGCCTAATAGTTCTATTCACCGATTCGAAGGGGAATCACTGGCGCAGGATTCACCGACATCGCCGTACGACACGTTGCACATTGATCATTTCGATCCACTCGAAACTATGCATGATGATTTTAAAAATATATTGGTAGTGGTAGACGCATTTACGCGTTATACGTAGCTCTTTCCCGCCAAAATCACGAGAAAATGCTCGAAAGAAGCATGTTCCAGCTTGGAATCCCTGTTTAATATTATGGGTTTTCCAAGGGAAATAGTTACCGATCATGGAACCGCATTCACATCGGCGCAATTTCAATCATTTTTTAATAGCGCTAAAATTAAATTGCGAAAAGTAGCCGTGGGCTTCGCCTTGGGCCAACGGAACAGTAGAAAGAGTAAATCGTTTCTTAAGAAGCTCGCTTGCTAAAATAATAAATTCGCCTGAAATCTGAAAAAATTATTTAAATACGGTTCAGTATGCTATTAATAATACTTATAACTCAGCGATAAAAGCATCGCCTTCAAACGTTCTTTTCGGTTTCGATCAACGAGGTCATGAAGATCAAAGTCTGAAAATATTGATTGAAGACATAGCAAAAAACGTTAGTTGATCCAGTAGACAAAAGAGAAATATCGAGGAATGTGACGATCGAAGCTGCTGAAAAATTGCATAAATATAACCGCTCATATTATGACAGACATCGAAAGCCTTCGAAGTATAAAGAAGGTGACTTCATCCTTGTAAGAGACTTACAACGAAAAATAGGAATCAATAATAAACTTAAACCAAACTATAAAGGTCCTTACACGCTCGCCAAAGTTCTCGACAATAACAGTGATAAAGGACATTCCAGGGTTCAGCATAACACAAAAATCTTATAATATAATTCTATCTCCGGACAAAATTAAACCGTGGATAAAACCAATAGTAAAATAATTGACAGTGTATTCTATTATGTATCAAATATCTGTGATTGTAAATTAAGTTAGAAATGCGTATTAGAAAATAAGTGTTAGTTGTAAGATTTGCGAATTGTTACAAAGTATAGCTAATATATGTGTGTGCGACATTCGGGGTCGAATGTAATTGTCAGGATGGTCGAAGCTATAAGATTACTCATAGACCACCGTGTATGTGAACGGTCATCACGAGCGATATCGGCGCTCGCGGCGATCACATGGGGCATACGTCATGCCGGCGCGGGTCAGGTGACCCGGAGTAATGAGGAAACGGAGCACGGCTCCGCGATGGCGTGCGGAGGCCTCGTGCGACACTTGGTACTCAGAGTCAGAGAGAACAAGTCGTCGCTTATCGTAGAGCCAATTTGTGAAGTTTTTATTGAATCCGTGGAAGTACTCCGAGAAACTAATATCGTCGGGGTATACGCGCGGCGTTCGACATCATTGTAATTATCGGTTGTCAGAGCGCAACCAACGGTGTTCTTTTGTATTCTTCGTGTATGTGCGTGAATTAAAATAAAGACATCGTTTTTGTAAAAAAGAGAAAGAACATTTTATTCGTATCGAATATAAGACTCGCCTTCCTGATCCTGGCTTGTAAGCTCCTGACCTTACAATATGTATATAATTGTTTCACATTGTATTTAATACCGAGAATCACTTTACTAATAATATTATATATAATTGGTTCATTTTCTTATGCATTATGCGTTATGCCAAAATGTGTACACGCACCTGCAGGAATGGTATCTCTTCACTCGGCGCGCGACTACTACACATTCACACGAAGCGCGTGCGTCCTTGTCTCTGGTAGTCCTTGTCTCTGGTGCGAAGGAAATCACGGAGCGGAAGGAAATAGTAGGGGTAATTCGATGTTGCATCCTTAACGCAAGATGCACGATCGAAAGAGAAAGCATAATCAGACGTGATATCGATTTTCGATGTCTCAGACATTCGACACTAATGCGAGTGAGAGATCGCAGTATCTCTATACACCGCGCTTTTCTTTTTCCTTTTCATTTTGTTAATTATTGATTATTTAATAAATGTTTATTTAATTAAATTGTTTCTTTAATTATTATTATTAATTATTTAACTATTGCGTAATAATTTTTCTATTATACATTTAAAAAGAAGGTTAGGTTATGTATAAAATTATAATTATTGCGGATAATTTGGAGACTTGTACTTTTATGCGCATTTATAAATTTGCAATGTGCAAATTAACTTCTTCTGCTGTAAGTAAAATTGTAGAATTACATTTAAATTTTAATGTAAATGTATAGAAATGATATGATATAATATAATAACACGAAATAATACTTTTACATATGGAAATAATTAATGTTTTATGATTATATTACAAATTTAAATTTGTAATTCATTACTTTTAAATATTATTCAATATCGGCTACTTGAGATAGCTGTAAGATATTCAATGTCCAAACCTGCAATGATAGTTGTAATTTTACGCATAACTTTTTTTAAAATGTATAATAAAAGAATTATTACGCGATAATTAAATAATTAATATTCATACTTAATTCATATTTAAATAATCAATTAATTAAATAAATAAATAAGTCATTAAGCAATCAATAATTAATCAGAACAACAAAAGGGAAAGACAAAAAAGCGTAGCGTATAGAGATACCGCAGTCTCTCACTCGCAAGTGTGAGATACGGTATCACGTCCGATTATGCTTTCTCTCTCGATCATGCGTTTTGCATTAAAGATACAACATCGAATTATTCCCATTATTTTTTCCCTTCCGCTCCGATTTCCTTCGCGCTACTAGAGCTAATCTTTCGATGATTTCATTTTATTATATTGTTTAAAATATGATAAAAGTTAACAAAATAAATATTGTGTATTTTAATCAGCCTTTTTCAGGGCTACAACTATTATTATTAAAATTTACGACTATCTTTCTATATTACAAATGCTTAAGAATTGTGTTTTCTACTTTATTGTAATGTTTTCTTTTAATGTACGAAATAATGTTATGAAATCAGATAATTTTTTTCATCTCTTACGTAACAATTCAATAAAAAAATTATCTGATTTCGTAATATTATCTGGAAATAAAAATAAATGTAAATAATGGAGTATAAACTGAGCATTCTATTATTTTAATTACTACGCAATTGCATATGACAATAAAAAAATACTGAATTTAACGAATACTTATTAATTATGTGAGTAATCACGAAGAGTCAAAAAATTAGTTTTTTTCACAATAGTGTTTAAAGATAAAATATTTATTATACTTATAATTTAAAATATTTTGAGAGAGGTTTGGTTCTCTTTTCATTTTCTCAGAAAAAATTTACAAAAGATTTATACAAAAATATTTATCTTTATATTACAATAATTACATAATCTCATAAAATTTCAATAATGGTTATATCGATATCTTGAAACATTTTCATATATTTAGTAAATGTGTAAAATTATTTTTAATATCTTGTATCAGAGAAGTTAAAAAAATTGTAAAAGATTAAAATTATTTAAATAAAGAAATATGAAAAATTATATTTATTAAAATAAATAATTTTGATAATTATGATCTAGACGTTGTATGTAAAATTTGTATGTAAATAATTGTTTTAAAAATATGTCAAAAATTTATAAAAATATTTTAAATATTTTGAAATAAAGTATTTAAGGTATTTAAAGTATTCAAAAATATTATACATATTGCGTATATACTCTGCAAAAAATTTTTCCTTCAATAAAAAACATTTGATTAAATTATTTATAATTAGTTAAAAA